TCAGGAACATTCCTACATTTTTATTTTCTCTCGGTGACTGAAGAAACTCCATGATTCAGAAGGGGCAAAGTTAAATTCTGCCTGAGCCCTCAGGCCTGGCCTGTTGGACCATCAGCTGTCTAGCGCCACTAAATTCAAAACTGTCCTCTAATTGTGTCCTTGCTTGGTCTTCCTCCCAGCAAGATGGGAGCTCAGAGCACCTTCCTGGCAGTGGCCATAGACAGTTAATCCTGAATTCCCAGCAACAGCTTTCTATAAGGTTCTGAGACCAGACAAACCTTCTATAGCAGGGTCATCAAGACTAAATGTGGAGCAAGAAGAAAAGGTGGGGGGTGGGCTAGAAGGGCCTAGAGCATCCCTGAGCATAATAAGGCTGGCCAAGCCAGCAAGGTGCACGTCCTGAGCCCTAAGGGCAGCCTTGGGTAAAGAAAATGCCTTCAGGAGCCACTTCCCCAAGGCTACCCACCAAGAGGGGAGCTCTGAGATAAGAAGGGGACCCCAAAGACAGACTGCTACAGGAGCCTCCAACACATCTGCTGAGACTATAGAATTCTTTCCCACAGTTCCTTCATGAGAAACGCTGCGTGAAGGAACTTCTAGATGGCACAACAAAAGACACACATAACGTGTGTGTGGACACCTGGGATTATCCACATCAGAAAACTCAAATATGTGTCCAGTCATACCCAAGTGAGACAGCTCACAGTCCCATAGGTGCAGGCTGGGAAGGGCAAGGCCCTGCATGGCCTCATTCAGAGCTGAAATAATGAGTCCCAGCCTGCCCCAGATGCTTGCGTCCTTGGGACAAATGAACAGGACACTGAAGTTGGGCCAGGACAGCAATCTGGGGCCATGGAAAGAAGAAGCACATGACCTGCACCCTCCAGTGCTCCATTCTCAATGCCAAGGAATGTGATGGGCCTGTTTTCAGAACAGCAGTGTCCCCTTCCTGGAAGAGTGGCGTAGATCTCTGTTTGCTTGGTGTCAGATACAAAGCCCCCAAACTCTCCTGCAATACCAGAAAATGGGCTGCTTTGGACAAATAAGTCCTAGATTACAATCATCTCACACTGTCTCCCAGGAGAATGAGTTCAAAGCCAGTCTCAACACCAGTCAGACCAAAAGACAGGAAATCCCAACTTTTCCACATGCTACACATTTATCTCCTCAGATCCCCCCATCCCTGTCTATACCTCCCTCCTCACAACACACTGAAATGTACCCAAAAGAATCCCTTTAGAGGGGCTCACAGACAAAGTCACAGACACACAATGCACCTGCACCACGGGAAACAGGCAGACTTTTACGTATTTTGGTAAATGGGAACTTGGAACACAGGTTGAAGAGAACACTAAGCACATGAGAGTGAGTGGGATTACACTGGCCACTGGCTTAAAGCTGTGCCAAAGCATGCACAGGGCACCAACCACATAGCGGGCACCCACTGGCCCTGGATTGTTCCTGCTGTGCCCTGACCATCCTAATGGAACAAACCATTGAGGCTACACAACAGCTCCACTCCCCTCAGGCTCTGAGCACCCACTGCAACTGGAATCCTAACCAATATTGAATGCCTGCATTTTCTCTCTGAAAAACACAATGGCTATAGAATTACAACATGATCCAGCAACTCCATTCTTGGGTATATATCCAAAAGAATTGAAAGCAGGTTATTACCACACCTAAAAAACAGCATCTCAGGAAGTATTGCCAGAAAGGCAGGAAGGAGAAACATTTCTCTTACCTACCACTACTGCCAAGACTAAAGATCTGCACTGAGACGTCACCAGCATCCCAAGATATGGTGCAAATAAAATAGTTCAATTCATAGTACTGAATTGTTTTCATTCATAGAACAGCATAAATGTAATGAGAAAAATATGTTAAGATTAAAATCATACTCAAAATATCCTTTTAACTTCCTGCATATTTATTTGCATTTGTGTTCAAGCACACAGCAGGAAAACCCCATTCATTTCTGGGTTGCCTATTCCAATGTCCACTCTCTCCTTACTAGAAGAACCCCAGTGTCTCTTTGGGTAGCCTACTAGCCAGATAAAACAATTCAGTTCCGTGACTCCTTAGTAGCTACTTCTAGCCACATGACTAAATTCAGTCCAGTAAGATGTAAACAGAAATGTTTCAGGAAACTTCGAGAAAGCCTCTTAAGAGCATAAGAAAAGCCCTTCATCAGCCCCCACCCTCCTTTCTGCTGCCTAGAATGCAGAAGTAATGACTAGAATTCAAGCAGTCATCCTGCTCCCCCTGGAATTACCATACTAACTCTACAGTGCAGACCCCTAGTCTTCTAATTTGACATGATAGGAAAGGGCACTTCTATCTTGAAGGCATTTCCTATTCTTTGGGGAATTCATTACATAAAAATAAACTGAATTCTAAGTAACGATTTTTAGGAAATTATCTTAAAGATCACCAATGAAGAGAAGATTCTATAAAGATGGAGGCAGTGGTATACTGTTTGAATCTTTATAAAAATCTACATTAAAAATGCAACAATTAATGGGTAAAGAGTATATGGAGTCTCTATACTAGTTCTTACCACTGTGTGTGAATCTCAAAATACAGTTTTTTAGTATCTAAAACACATTCTTTAAAAAATCCACCAGAAAGCAAAACAAAAACACCGTTAACAATATTTACACTAAAATAAAAAATGTCAAAATACAAATGAGTAAAAGCAAATTCTACAAACACTAAAATAAAAGGGGATAAGGACAAACCACCATCAACCTGAGACACGCATGTTATTATTATCTGTTCAGCAGAGAGTAGAGGGAAACAATGAGACATCTGAAAGACCTGAGAACAGGAGAAGCCAAAATAATGAGCAGATATACACTGGAGAGTATATTAGGCCCATTTGAGAACAGCAGCTGAAACTGAGAGGGGTATTCACCAATCCAGCACTAGGCAAGTCAACAGTCCCATGGTTTAGACTAAATGATCTGCAGCAATCTAGCTTCTATGAATTCTTAAAACTGGCCCCCAGGGCTTACTTCCAGGATAGGAGAAACTACTAGGAGTGGAATCAAAACTGAGAAATACTGGAACTGTAATATAAAGAAAAGAAATGCTCAAAATAAAAGTGAGAGACAAAAATAGAGACAAGAAATCTCAGAATGCAATCAGTCATGTTTCTAAACCCCATACTAAAACAATAGATTAAAATGCTCTGTGAAGTTAAAAAAAAAAAAAAATGTGAACCAAGCCTCCTTCTAAAAGTTCAAGAAAACTGATTTCATATAAAAATGAGCAACATAAAAGTATCAAGGTCAAATTTCATACATAATTATTATAAGAAAAGAGAGAATTAGGAGTTGAATAACATCTGTACAGACAATGAAAGCATGTCAAAAAGTCATACCTAAAGTGCCTAAAATCATACCTAAATTGTACCTAAAGTCATACCTAAAATCAAATTTATAACCTAATTTTCCAAAACTAGGTTATAAATGAGATGATACAAGCTAAGAAAGAACATAAATCAAAATTAGAAAAAAAATGAAATGAACAGAACTCAGGACTATCACTTGGATTTACTTCAAATAAATGAAAAGTCATTTGGGAAATGACAAACTAGAAGGAACACAAAAGTAAATAAACACAATAATAATAATGCTTCAAGAGATGCAGAAAGTTAAAGGGGGACATTTTTTCAAATCAAAAAGAAATAACAAAAATGACTCAAGAGAAATAGAATCACTGCAGGTAGGCAAAGAAGATCTAACACACAGCTAACAGGGGTCCCTGAAACAAGGTGAACCAAAACAAAGGAATCGAATATTGAAAACTATAATACAAGAAAATGTTCTTAAAATTGTATATATAATTTGAAACTACATAAAAGAGCCCCCTATGTATCTGAGAATACTGACCCAGAAAGTCCTACACCAAGACACATTCTAATTACTGGATTTTACAGAAAAAAAAAAAATATTTTAGGCATCTAAGCAAAAATAACAAATGACATAAAAGCTTATCATCATCAGACTTTTCAAAAGTAATACTTTACATACACAAAAATGCAGTAACAAGGACATAAAATGTTGGCAAAGGATATTATACATAGCAAAAATCTTATAAAGTGTACCAATAAACTGTTAACATGCAAAACCTGAGCCCTTTTTAAAGAATCTACTAGAAGGAGGGACCTCAAATTTTTTCTGACTCCTTAACTTCTTCAACTTATTTAGGATCCCCAAGAGCTGTGTTTTTGTGGGTAACATCTACAAACAAATTACCTCTTAGAAGTTGAAACAGAAATTTTTAATTCTTTATGAATTAATCAAAAATAGCAAACTCAGTATATGCTAATGTATGTATAACATATTTTCAAAAAATAACTATTTTTCCAAACAAAAATAAATCGTAAGAGTAATATTGCTTTTATTTTTGAAAATCCCTTTAACATTTCTCTTAGTAACAGCCAGACTCACATATCTGCTATACACTTAATTTGTTATGATATCACAAGTCACAGAGCTTCTGGAAAACTCATCTGTGCACTCATGTGAGAATGAGAGATGGTAATAAATTAAAGGAAAATACCCTCTTAGAATTATTATGAAAACATTTTTTTTTTACCTCAAAGACTCCCTAACTCAAGAATGAGTTTCGAACACAAAATGACTAGAAAAATATCAACATAAAGATTGATGGTGAACTTTCACCCCAAAGGAATCTGCAGAACTAAGAGAAAATGACAGCTAACATGAAGTGAGTATAGTTACAATGGCTATGCAATCTGACAATGTAGATAAAGATATTTTTAAATGAGAAGGGCAAATACAAAAAAAAAAAAAAAAAAAAAAAAAAATTAGTTATATTTTTGTTGGCAGTTTGGTTATTTTTTATTTTTATTACTACTGTGT